ATAGGGTAAGTAGACAATGTGAGGTCCTGTTAGACGAGATTCTAGGAAAGGAATGCAGTTAACAACCTGCCGCGTCCTCTTGCACTATTCACGCAGTCCCACCCCACACCCTTGTTTTCGCATAAAACCCACGCTCCTCATGCAGCCCGCGGTCGTATTCTTCCAGGACAGTCACGTCAGCAAGTAGAGAAAGTGAGGGTGGGCAGACACATCGAACTTTCCCACGATATCAGAGAAATTCAGGAATGAAAATGACGTTACATACGAGGTTGATGCATTTGTGCATGTCGTACTAAGCAAGGTACAAAAACAGTTGCTGTATGAGGAATTAGTTCGTACCATTGAATATTTGACACAATAGACAAGGTGTCGCAGAAACCGATGTTGCTATAACCAAGTTTTACTGTATTTTCTTATGCTGCACATATGCAGAAACAAAAAAGGCTCAAATGCACTGACAGCTGACAGTTCATTTTAGGACATACTACATGGATTCAATACATGGGCAATGTCTATACTCTGAAAAGGTTCCACAATTTAATTTACCCTACAATGGCATAAGAACCACAAAGCTATATGCAAGCAGGACTACCAATGGGATAAACTGGGTTACCAAAATTACAATATTGAAATGCCTCATTTCCTGCAACCCTTCACAGAGATACTATCCTACAAATTCATTGTATATGTTTAGTATGTCCTCAATGTATCTGTAATAATTTACAATGTAATATTTTTAAGTATATTAATAATGTTGGTACGTTCCAGGTACTGGATGAATATTTCTGCTAGGAAAGATGATGTTGGGGCTCCCACTGCTAATCTGTCATCTTGTAAGATTTGAGGCTTTCACGGCGGTGACTATGAAGAAAGCAGTCTTCTGGGCTTTGGCGCCGTGTATATGTGGTGTTAACCGACGTTTCGGAGGAACGTATCGCCCCCATCTTCAGGGTTGAAGAAAAAGTATAGNCCTGAAGATGGGGGCGATACGTTCCTCCGAAACGTCGGTTAACACCACATATACATGGCGCCAAAGCCCAGAAGACTGCTTTCTTCAATCTGTCATCTTGTTTACAGTACTGATTGTTGAATTGTAAATAGATTTGATCTATGATTGTAGTTATTAATATTATTAGCTCATTGTCATTTTTCTGGTGTACTGTTATTGTCTACGACATTTTTGATTATATAAGTTCTCTTTTGGGGATATTTGCATGCATATTTGTAATATAAAAGAACATAGATACCACCAATATTGAGAATGCCTTAGTAGACTTCAATTCCATACTCCCTAATATCCAGTTGATAATTGAAAAAGAAACAAATGACAAATTAAATTACCTATGATGCAACCATTACGAATATACAAAACACACTCACATTCAACATATATAGGAAACTCACATCCACGGATCTGATCATACACAACAACTCATGCCACCCACAAGAGCATAAGAACGCAGCCATTAACTACCTCATAAACTGCATGAACATGTACCCCACAGATACAAACAAGAACTATGAATTACAACACACAAGAACAATATTACATAATCACTCTACATATAAACATCTAGGCAAACAAAAAAACAAATCTCGCATATAAAAAAACACACCACCAGAAAACAAAACTGAACCACCTTTACATATACTGGGGGGAAAAATGAGGATCATTACAAGATTATTTAAAAGCACAAACATCATTCAATGCCACAAATAGGACAAAAAATCTTATTACAGACACTTTCCACGAAAGTGGCATTTACTAACTAAAGAGAAGAAACTGCCTTTTGAAGTATGTAGGCCAAACAGGCAAAAATTTCCAAACATGCTTTGAAGAGCATATACAAGCCATATGGGCCAATAAATCAAATTTCAAATATCCACAACATACAATGGACACACTTCACAATAAAACTACTAAATACACTAGAATGGTTCTAACATACACAACCTTAGTATAAAAAAAACTTCAAACAACCCATACACAGACATACTTGGTGGCACAAGAAATGATCCAGTATTTGATATATTAATAAAATCTTTATTTCAATTACAATACACTTGGTCGTCTACTTATAACAGACTTCCAGTCTGACTGACAAGCCGTAAGTCGGCCATATATTTATTAACAGTATTTTTTAACCTTTTCTAATCTTTTTATCATCTTTATAATTTATTTTTAAAATCTTTTACATTTTAATCAACTTTTATTTTTCATTTTTTTTTTGTGGTCATAAGTGCGGCTGGTCATAAGTCGACAACCAAGTGTACTAGACACTAGCATACAAAAAGAAAGACCACTGCATGGAGACTTATCCTCTGTGAATCAAGTGTTCAATATGACCACCATTACATATGTCAGCTTCTTCAACAAGAACTGTGATGATGATAATTACTGGACAGCACATATCCCCAGTTATCTTGACGCAGGCCTGAATGATAGTGTGCTCAATTTCATTACTGTTTGCAGCTTTTTTGGAAAAATATTTTCCTTAATA